ACGGGGCGTGGCCCTAGCGGCTCCAGCCCTGGGACCGCGTGTTACCCTCCAGTCGCCTCTCAAGGGTGACGGCCGCCAGCACACGGAGCGCCGTACTGCGCTAGTCCACCACCTGGCCAGGCGCACCGATGACCTCGCCCCTGCCACGAGGCCCGCGGCCGCAGGCACTGAGCAGCCGCCCCTCACCGACCGCGAAACCGAGCTGACCCAGTCTATGGCCGCTCTTCAGCAGAGGTGTGCTGCTCTCGCCGCCGACCTTGCCGCTGCTCAAGCCCGTCAAGGCCCTCTGCTCCAGCGCCTCCACCGCGCCGGGCGTGCCTTCGCCGAGCTGCTTACGCCCTCGCCCGATGGTGCTGCGCCGCCACTCACCATCCAAGCTATGCTGTCATCGCTCCGCGGCGCTCCGCCTGGTGCCCCGCGCTAATTTCCTCCGTTCTGCCTGCCCGTGTGTACGCGTGGCTCCGCGTCCACGGTGTCAGGGCGTGGGGGCGGGGGGTGCCCCGTCACTGCGCGCCGCTTAGCGGCCAAGCGCCCAACTGGCGGTCCGCCAAGCCGCCTAGCCACGTGCCAGCACGTCGCCTTCCTTGTTGGGGCCTTTTACCTCACGCGGTCTGTCAGGTGAGATCTTCATCGTCTGTCCGCCGTCTGTAGCGTCAGTCGCACTGCGCCGGGGGAGGGGGTTTTGTAGCCCGCCCTCGTATCTTAAGGCTGCACCGCCGCAAATAGTGCTTGCGAGTTGTCGCACTGCAGTGCGCCTCGCGGACGGACCCTGGTCCGCCTACTTGTCCGATCTCTTCTCTCTCTCTCTCTCTCTCTCTCTCTCTCTCTCTCTCTCTCTTCTCTCTTCTCTCTTTCTCTCGCCTGTCTCCTCTCTCAACTCCCCCTCTCTCTCTCTCTCTCCGCTCTCTCTCTCTCTCTCTCTCTCCTCTCCCTTTCTCTCGCTTCCTCTCTCTCTCTCTCTCTTGCTCTCTCTCTCTCTCTCTCTCGTCACGGGCTCGTGAGATCAGCCAGGGTGGCTCCCCCTTGGGGCTCCCAAATGATGCCCCTGGCAGCGTTTTGTGACCATGAGGCTCTCAAGAGATACATGTTGGGGACGCCAAACGGCAATTCTAGCTGAGGCGTCCCACCAAAATCGGCGCGAACGGGCTCGTGAGATCAGCCTGGGTGGCTCCCCCTTGGGGCTCCCAAATGATGCCCCTGGCAGCGTTTTGTGACCATGAGGCTCTCAAGAGATACACGTTGGGGAAGCCAAACGGCAATTCTAGCTGAGGCGTCCCACCAAAATCGGCGCGAACGGGCTCGTGAGATCAGCCAGGGTGGCTCCCCCTTGGGGCTCCCAAATGATGCCCCTGGCAGCGTTTTGCGACCATAAGGCTCTCAAGAGATACATGTTGGGGGCGCCAAACGGCAATTCTAGCTGAGACGTCCCACCAAAATCGGCGCGAACGGGCTCGTGAGATCAGCCAGGGTGGCTCCCCCTTGGGGCTCCCAAATGATGCCCCTGGCAGCGTTTTGCGACCATGAGGCTCTCAAGAGATACATGTTGGGGGCCAAACGGCAATTCTAGCTGAGACGTCCCACCAAAATCGGCGCGAACGGGCTCGTGAGATCAGCCAGGGTGGCTCCCCCTTGGGGCTCCCCAAATGATGCCCCTGGCAGCGTTTTGCGACCATGAGGCTCTCAAGAGATACATGTTGGGGGCGCCAAACGGCAATTCTAGCTGAGACGTACCACCAAAATCGGCGCGAACGGGCTCGTGAGAACAGCCAGGGTGGCTCCCCCTTGGGGCTCCCAAATGATGCCCCTGGCAGCGTTTTGTGACCATGAGGCTCTCAAGAGAGACATGTTGGGGAGGCCAAACGGCAATTTTAGCTGAGACGTCCCACCAAAATCGGCGCGAACGGGCTCGTGATATCAGCCAGGGTGGCTACCCCTTGGGGCTCCCAAATGATGCCCCTGGCAGCGTTTTGTGATCATGAGAGAGTGTGAGTGTGAGTGAATGTGACTGTGAGTGAGTCTGAGTGAGAGTGAGTCTCATCTTCTCTTATCGAGTCCTATCTTATCTTACCTGTATTACCCTCTATCTTATCTTATCTTGAAATATCTTATCTTGTCTTAGTTTATATTATATCAACTCATCTTATCGCATCATATATTGACTTATCTTATTACTCCATAGGCTGTCTTATCTTATATATTATCTTACCTTGTCATATATCTTATATTACCTTATCATATATTGTGCTATCTTATCTTATCGTGTATATTATATTGTCTTGTCTGATCTGGTGATTATCATTGAAAGGAGGGAGGCGCGAGCGGGAGGAAGGAGGAGCAGTGGGAGGCGTCAGAGTAATAACAAGAACCCCAATCCTTAGGATATGGGGAAAAACACAATAATATACAAACAAATAGATAAATGGAAAAAATAAATACATAAATAAATAAATAAATAAATAAAATACGTAAAAGGCAAAAAAATGCAGCAGCTGCACGGGCGGAGGGCGGCTCCTCCTCCTCCTCCTCCTCCTCCTGGCAGCGCCTGGCTCCTCGCCCCAGGCTGCTCCACCGAGCCGTCGGGAGAAGCAGATAGAGACGGGAAGCAGGAAGGCGGACAGAGTGGACCCAGTGGAGGCTAGTCCACAAGGAACCTGCCACGAGAAACCCAAGCCTGAGACCCCAGAACTTCCCTTGATCGAAGCCCACGAAAACCGGGGCACCCCGGAGGCTAGCAGGGTGTTCCTTGGCATGGGACCCCACTGTAGGGTTCGGGCCGCCCGAAGAAGAATCCGCCGACCCAGTCAGCGTGTGTGAGACGCCGTCGTCGTCTTCGTCGTCGTCGTCGCCGCCAGTCCCAAGGACATCTAGAAACGAACAGAGGAAACAGATCGTCGAAGTGAAGTCGATACCTTCCCCTTTTTCCCCCCTCCCTGACGGATAAAGGAAGTAGGTCGATTCGTGAAGTAGGATGGCGGATAAAGTAGATAGGGTTCGGGCCGCCCCAAGAATCATAGGAAACAACACAGACCATCGACTCCTGAGGCAGGATGGCGCCTGAAGTAGCGTGGGATCTGGGAGCCCAAGAATACATGCTTTCAACGACTGGCGTGCATATAATGCAGCGAGCGCGGGGGGGAAGTGAGAAGGAGAAGCCTTCTCAGAGGGCTCGGAAGCCCCCTGGCCTTCTGAGAAGTGTTCCAAGCTTTCCCCGAAAACATCGAAAGCCCCTCAGAAGGCGCGAGGGCTTCTGAGAAGTCTCGCCACCTCCCGAGAAGGCCTTTTCCTTCTCCACTCCCCCCCCCTCGCTCGCCGCCGACGGGGGAGGAGGGGAGGAAGGAGGGGACGAGGAGGGGAGGAGGGGAGGATGAGGCGGAGGAGAAGAAGAAGGAGGAGGAGGAGGAGGAGGAGGGGAAGGGGAGGAGGAGGAGGAAGGAGGAGGAGGAGGAGGAAGAGGAGGAGGAGGAGGAGGCGGGAGGGAGAAGGAGAGGAGGAGGAAGGAGGAAGAGGGAGAAGGAGGACGACGAGGAGGAGGAGGAGAAGGAGGAGGAGGAGGACATCGCCTGGGTGAGATGTCATGGCCAGAAGCCCTAAAATCTTGTGCAGGGAGCCACCCGGATGGAAGGGGGCGGCTCATTCTCCGAAGGAGGGGCCGCCGCTGGGCACCTCCGCATCGACGACGCTGTGCTCCCGCCCCGTCGCGTTCCCTACAGCTCGGAGGATGGAGGGCGGCTGCAGTCAACCCGTATATTAAGGATGCGCGGTGAGGACGCAAGGGCCTCCTCCTCCTCCTCCTCCTCCTCCTCCTCCTCCGCCGCCTCCTCCTCCTCCTCCTCTCCTCTTCCTCCTCCTCCTCCTCCTCCTCCTCCTCCTCCTCCCTCCCTCCCTCCCTCCCTCCCTCCCTCCACCGCCCGCCCCATATCCCGAGCCTGTGGCAGGGTCATCAGCTCGTCGTTGTCGTTGTCGTCGTGGTCGTCGTCGTCGTCGTCGTCCTTCTGGGTCGGCGGCACTGGCCGTAAGGCCTTCACAAGAAGGATGCGCGGGAAGGATGCAAGGGATGCCGAGGCTCTTCGAGCGGGGCTGGCCATCGAAAGCGGTCGAGGATTGGCCGAAGACGACCGAAGAGGCAAGGAAGCCGATCATACTTACCATGCGGGTTGACTGCGTTCCTTAAAACGGACCTCCCGCCGGAGTTGCGGGCGCAGGCAGGTTCGAGGTCCTCAGTTCCGAGAGGTTTTTGGGCGGGAATTAATGGAGAGGCGCTACATGGGGGGAGGAAGAGGGGTGTCCTTTTCGGACCCTGACGACCCCCTTCTGGGTCCGAAAGGGCCCCTTTAGGGACCCTACAGGGCCCCATTTCGGCACCCCTCGCTGCCCCCCCATGCATCGCCCCCGCATTACGCGCCCCCCAAAGTTTCTGCCCTTTCCAGCCTCTGGGGACAGTTTCCAGGCCCCAGGGCTATGAGAAACGGATCTGGGGTGAACAACTACACCAGATGGACCCAGGGAGGGAACCAGGAACCCTGCCTTGCAAGGGGGTGCTCTTCAAGGTAAAGACAATGCTTGGCAGGGCTTGTGAGGAGGGACGGCAGGGTGTACTGCAGAATAATTGACACATGTTGAACTTACTATGATCCTCCTCATCCTCATCATCATCATCATCCTCCTCATCATCAGCATCATCATCAGCATCAGCATTATCCTCATCATCACCATAATCAACATCAGCATCAGCATCATCAGCATCATCATCAAGATCATCATCCTCAGCATCATCATCATCAGCATCATCATCATAATCATGTTCATCATCATCATCACCATCATCATCCTCATCATCATCAGCATCATCATCATCATCCTCATCATCATCATCCTCATCATCATCATCATCATCCCCTTTGAGGCTTCTGGAGGTACCTAGAGGCCTACGGAAGCTCAAACATTCCCGGGTCACCCCCAGCTTCCTCGGAAAAAGCAGGAGCGCGCAGCGGAAGCACGACCTGGACGACGGATCATGTCAAGAAGGTCCACCTTGTCGTCCAGCTTCTGCCTCCGAGGCAGCGATGATTCTCCGCCTCCTCCTCATCCGCCTCCTTCTCCTCCTCATCCTCTTCCCTCTGTTTCTCCTCATTACCAACGGCAGAATTACCGTCGTCATCATCGTTGTCGTAGTCGTCGTCATCATCATCATCATCATCATCATCATCATCATCATCATCATCATCATCATCATCATCATCATCAGCATCAGCATCAGCATCAGCATCAGCATCATCATCATCATCATCATCATCAGCAGCATCATCATCATCATCAACATCATCATCGTCATCATCATCATCTGCATCATCATCATCATCATCATCATCATCATCATCATCATCATCATCATCATCATCATCATCATCATCATCATCATCATCGCAATCATCATCATCACCAGCCTTATCATCAGCAGCAGCAGCGGCATCATCATCATCAGCATCATCATCAGCAACGTAAGCGTCATCATCATCGTCATCAGCATCATCGTCATCGTCTTCAGAATCAGCAGCAGCGTCATATCAACAACAGCATCATCAGCATCATCGTCAGCAAAATCAGCATCATCATCAGCAGCAGCATAATCCTCATCATCATCAGCATAAGCGTCATCACAATCGTCATCATCAGCAGCATCAGCATCATCATAATCACATCAAAAGCATCATCATCATCATCACCATCATCATCATGATCAGAAGCATCGTCATCATCAGCATCATCATCAGCATCGGCAGTGTCATCATCAGAACCATCATCATCAGCATCATCATCATCATCATCAACATCATCATCATCATCCCCATAACCATCATCATCACCATCACCATCATCAGCACCATCATCGTCATCGTCATCGTCATCATCATTGTCATCGTCGTCATCGTCGTCATCATCATCGTCATAATCTCTATCATCATCATCATCATCATCAACAGCAGCAGCATCATCATCAGCAGCATCATCAGCATAATCAGCATGATCATCATCAATAATATCACCACCGTCATCATCATCGCAAAAGCCATCGTCACCACCATCACCATAACCCGCACCATCACGGTCCGTAAAGTGTTCATCGCGACGATGCCCCTCACGGTCCCAGCTTCTTTCAGGACCCCAGCAAGGTCACTTGCAGGGAGGGGTGCTTGGGGTGAGCGTACTGGACCCACAAGGAAATCGAGACGTCACGCCAGTCGGGACTCACGTGCACGCCTCTTCGGCCCCTGCGCCGTTTGAAGAGGCGGTGGGAAAGGGAGAGTGGGGCGCGGAGGGACCAAATGCCGTGCAAGTAAACCCTGACATCCTCCAGTGTGATTTTTTCAATCCGCGGCCCCAGAAATCCCGACCCCTTCCCAGGGAGTAGTTTTGCGACCCAGATCCTCTTTTGATGGTCCCGGGGCCCAATGACGGGCCCCGAACCCGAAATCGAGGACATTCGACCGGATCGAAAAAAACACATCCTCGGAGATCTGGGAACTTTCGGAGGCGAGCGAGAGGGGAAAGTGAGAAGGAGAAGGCATTCTCAGAAGGCGGCGGGGCGTCTCAGACGGCCTCCTGCCTTTTGAAAGGACTTCTCTGCCTTCGGGGAAGGCCTACAAAACTTCTCAGAAGGCTGGGGGACTTCCGAGCCTTTTGAGAAGGCCGGCCCCTTCTCACTTCCCCCCTCGCTCGCCGCCGACGGGGGAGGAGGGGAGGAGGAGGAGGAGGAGGAGTGAGGAGGGGAGGAGGAGGGGAGGAGGAGGAGGAGGAGGGAGGAGGAGGGGAGGAGAGAGGAGGAGGAGGAGAAGAGGAGGAGAAAAGGAGGAGGAGGAGGAAAAGGAGGGAGGAGGGGAGGAGGAGGAGGAGGAGGAGAGGAGGAGCCCCCCCCCCCCACCCACGGGGCCCGAAACGAGCCCTCGGGAGCTCGGCCTTCAGCGCCCGCCGCTGGCGCCTCGACACACCGCGACCCGAGGCGGCGCGAGAGCCTGCCGCGGGGTTCGCGCTAGAGCGCCGGCACCGCGGCGAGGCGGCCCCGGCCTGCCGCAGGCCCCCCAAAACACCCAGGAGGGGCAAGAACGGGAGAAAAGAACGAACAGGCAACAACAACTAACAAAACTAGAACAGCATAACTATAAGAACGAAAACAAGCAAGTTGTCAAACACACAAACAAACAGACAGACAGACAGACAGACAGACAGACAAACAAACAAACAAACAACCAAACAAACAAACAAACAACAAACCAAACAAACAACAAACCAAACAAACAAACACACACACACACAAACAACCACACAGGCAGAAAGACAGAGAGACAGACAGACAGACAGACAGACAAACAAGCAAACCAAACAGACGACCAAGTATACAAACAACCAAACACACTGACAAACAAACAAACAAACAAACAAACAAACAACCAACCAAACAACCAACCAGCCAACCAACCAACCAACCAACCAACCAAACAAACAAACAAACAAACAAACCAAACGAACAAACAAATAAACAAACAAAACAAATAAACACACACCCTAAAGCGGCTCAGGTCAGTCGAAGCTCTGTCACGGGGCTCCCGGGCTGGCAGCAGAGCCCTGCTTCGGCCCAGGGTGCGCCCAGATCCACGCGCGGATCCCTGGGCCCCCCCTCCAAAGCACAGGTGGCTCTCACTCACGGGTCCTGCGCCCCGGGCTCTTGCCGAGGGCCCGCCGTGGGGCCCGCGGACGGCGAGGACCCTCGAGCAGAACCCCTTCTTGCCTCGTGCTGAACTCCTCCTCCCCCTTCGAGAGGGCGGCGTCGGACACAAAGGGAGGGACCTCGAGTGTCATGCGCCATCCACCCACCGCTCCGACCCACTCTCGCCTTCGGCCCCTGCTTGGAAAATCGGGGGATAATGGAGAAAGAGAGGAGGAGGAGGAGGAGGAGGAGGAGGAGAAGGGGGAGGAGAAGGGAGGAGGAGGAGGAGGAGGAGGAGGAGGAGGAGGAGGAGGGAGGAGGAGGGAAGGATGAGGGGAGTAGGAGGAAGAGGAGGAGAGGGAGAAGGAGGAGGAGGACTAGTGCAAACCCAAGAGTCATCAACGATGTTTGAATAAACCCTCCCTCCAAGCTCCCTCTTCGTAGGCCCCTACAACGGTTCGTTTCCATTAAGGGAACTGCCTCATTGGAAGACAACCGTTTAAAGGCCCTGAAGAATGCCAGGATTCGAACGCCACGCATCAACCTGACTGTTGCGTCTTGAAAAGCCTGAATCACGCCAGAACGCCATTTCTGGGACTTCAACACAGCGAACGAACATAACTGTTGCACCCTCATAATCCTGAACCCTTTCAAAACATCATTCCTGGCGCGCTGATGATGGGAATCCGTGAAACTCTTGCAAATGTGTAAAACGAATGTGCGCCGCGCTAAAGCGAGAGCCACATCTTGAAAACCACCCGCCCTCAGTTCGTGAAACTCATGCACATGTGTGAAACGAATGTGCGCCGCGCTAAGGCGAGAGTCACACTTTGAAAACCCCCCGCCCTCAATCCGTGAAACTCTTGCAACATGTTGAAACAAATGTGCGCCACGGTAGGGCGAGAACCACATTTTGAAAACCACCCGCCCTCAATCCGTGAAGCTCTTGCACATGTGTGAAACGAATGTGCGCCGCGCTAAGGCGAGAGCCACATTTGGAAAACCCCCCGCCCTCAATCCGTGAAACTCTTGCACATGTGTGAAACAAATGCGCGCCACGGTAAGGCGAGAGCTACGTTTTGAAAACCACCCGCCCTCAATCCGTGAAACCCTTGTAATTGTTTAAAGCGAATGTGCGCCGCGCCAAGGCGAGAGCCATATTTTGACAACGACCCACCCAGCATCTGCGAGACTGTTGCCAATTTTGAAGCTTCAGAATCAGAGATGGTGAGGAAATCTGAGGCGAAACGCCTGGCCCGCCCTAGAGACTGGCCTCGGAGTGCGACAGGGAGAAATCAGTTATAAGGAAAAGAAATGGAGGATGACGAGGAGGAGGAGGAGGAGGAGGAGGAGGAGCAGCAGGAGGCGCAGGAGGAGGAGGAGGAGGACGAGGAGGAGGAGGAGGAGGAGGACGAGCAGGGCAGGCCCGGAGCGGCGGGGCGGCGACAGCGACCATCTTGCAGCCAGACCGACGGGCAGGCCCAGCTCTTCAAGAAGGAATAAGAACCCCTAACTGCAAGCACTGTTTACGAAGAGCGCTACAAGAAGTCATCAGACAGCAATCGCGAGAACTCCTCCTCGTCCTCATCCCTCCTCTCTCTCCTCTTTTTCGCTGAGGCCCTGCAGTGGAGGCCAGTCCACAAGAAACCTTTCACGAGAAACACAAACCTGGGACCCCAGGGCGTCCATCGTTTTTTGGTGTGGGACTGTCACGCTCTCCATCGCAAAACCATCGAAACCCAAGAAACCCAGGGCACCCTGGAGGCAAGCAGGGTTTCTTCGCATGGGTTTCCACTGCAAGAGCCCCTAACTGCAAGCATTGTCTGGGAAATGCAAAGCAGCACAAAGCAAGGAGGATTTCAAAGAGTGGAGGACGCTCCAAGCGGAACGGCCATAAAAAAAACTATCGGCACAAGAATCGGGTATGAGCTGTACTCCCTCGAGGAGGTACGCATGATAATCTGTGCGCATATGCATATATATATATATATGTAGGTGCATTCACATATCCTCCCATCGTCGTTGCTATTCATTTCTACATAACCATCACTTACATCCCTCATCACCCCGTCGCATTTCTCATAATCAATCCCATGGCCATCAACTGCAACATCACCGCGATCAGCATCACCGTCAGAATCACTGTTGATCCCTCTTCCTTATTCATCATCGACAGCAGCATCAGCACCCATACACGATCAGCATCTTTATCATAACAACAACCATCACATCATCACCATCATCATCGTCGTCATCACCATCGTCATCATCATCCTCATCATCCATCATTCATTCCCCCTCACTCCCTCTCCACTTCTCATCATTGGTGCTCCCCCACTATCCAACCATTATCATATCTCATCCTTCTGATCCTCTTCTCCCCACCATCCTCCTCGTTCATAATCCCTCTTCCTCCCTCTGCCTCCCCTCCAGAAAAAAAAGGCCGAGGGGCGGGACGGCTTGAGAATCGGCAGGCCGCTCAGGAACTTGTTATCCTGCGCGAGGCCGCGCCAAGGCAGAGGGGGGCAGGAAGACCAGAAGAGCTGAGAAACACGACAAGGAGCAGCTGCAGCAGCGCACGTTCTGGGTTTCTGGATTGTGCTTCTGGCTGCATCGCGAATGTTCGACGGATTCTAAGACTCGAAAGCATATGTCCGTGTGTGGTCGTTGCTACATGCTGTGCGGGTGGCTTCTGGAGGGGTGCCGAAGGTTTCCGGGGGGGGGGGGAGGAGGAGAAGGAGGAGGAGGAGGAGGAGGAGGAGGAGGAGGAGGAGGAGGAGGGAAGGAGGAAGAAGAAGAAGAAGACGAAGAAGAAAAAGAGAAGGAGGGGGAGGAAGAGGAGAAAGAGGAGGAGGAACAGCAGCCGGACGAGGATAAGAGCGGAGGAAGAGGAGCAGGAGACAAAGAAGAAGGAGAAGGAAAGAAAGAAAAGGTGGAGGAGGAGGAGGACCAGATGTGAAGAAAGGACACAGAGGGAGTAGGAGCAGTGGCAGCAGGAGGGGAGGAGGGGAGGATGAAGAGAAGGAGACGAAAGGAAGGAGGGAATGTCATCATCATCATCATCATCATCATCATCATCATCATCATCATCATCATCATCATCATCATCATCATCATCATCATCATCATCATCATCATCATCCGGCTGCATGTTCCTCCTCGTCATGATGATGATGACGAGGAGGAAGAGAAGGAGGGGGAGGATGAGAAGAGAAGGGGATGAGGAGGGACTCGGAGTAGGAGGAGGGGGCGACGAGGAATGGGAAGAGGGGTAGGGGTTTGAGGAAGCTCTTGGGCGCTCCAGGAGGGCTGAGGACTTCGAGGGAGGTCTTTGCAGATTGATGGGGCTGCAGGCGGGGTTCGGGGGGCGAGGAGGAGCAGGAGGGGACGACTGGACCGTGCTGCAAGCCCAGCTGCACGAAGGAAAGCCGAAGGTGGATCGGCACCGTGATCCTCCTCCTCCTCCTCCTCCTCCTCCTCCTCCTCCTCCTCCTCCTCCCACTCCTCCTCCTCGCTCGCAGCAACTACGAAAAAAACAGGATGTCAGGAGGCACGGGAGCTCGGACTCCCATGACCTCGCCATCCTGCTTGGCCAGCATCATCGTCATCATCATCATCATCATCATCATCATCATCATCATCATCATCATCAGCATCATCATCTTCATAATCATCAGCATCATCATCATCATCATCATCATCATCATCATCATCATCATCATCATCATCATCATCATCATCATCATCATCCGCATCATCATCGTCATCATCATCATCATCATCATAAGCATCATCATCAGCAGCATCAGTATCATCATCATCGTCAGCATCATCATCGTCATCGTCATCGTCACCGTCATCATCGTCATCATCATCATCATCATCGGAGTCACCATCGTCACCAGCAGCACCACCACCAGCATCATCATCATCATCAGCATCATCGTCAGCATCCTCATCAGCATCATCATCATAAAAAAAATCACCATCATCAGAATCGCCAGCAGCATCATCATTATCACCAGCATCATCAACAGCAGCAACAGCACCCGCATCAGCATCATCATCATCAGCAGCATCATCAGCATCATCATCATCCGCGTCGTCATCACCATCATCATCATCAGCAGCAGCATCATCAGCATCAGCAGCATCATCACCATCAACATCATCGTCATCACCACCGTCCTCATCATCATCATCATCATCATCATCATCATCATCATCATCATCATCATCATCATCATCATCGTTATCATCACCATCATTAGCATCGTGATCATCAGCATCATCAGCATCATCATCGTCATCAGCATCGCCATCATCAGCATCAGCATTATCATCAGCAGTAGCGTCATCCTCATCAACACCGCCATCATCAGCATCACAATCATCATCATTATCATAATCATGATCATAACCAGAATATGCAACATCATTGTCATCGGCATCATCAGCATCAGCATCAGCATCAGCATCGTCATCATCATGATCAACATCACCATCATCATCATCAGCAGCATCAGCAGCACCATCATCATCATCATCCTCAGCATCGCTCCGCATCATCGTCAGCATCATCGGAATCAGCATCATGATCAGCATCATCATCATCATCGTCATCATCATCATCCTCGACGACATCATCATCAGCATCAGCAGCAGCAGCATCATAACCATCATCATCATTTGCACCATGCTCATCCCCGTTATCATCATCAGCGGCATCATCATCCGCATCAGCATCAACATCGTAATCATCCCCATCAGCATCATCAGCATCATCAGCATCAGCATCATCAGTAGCGTCAGCATCATCATCATCAGAATCAGCAGCATCATCATCATGAGCAGCAGCAGCATCAGCATCGTCATCATCTCAAGCATCATCAGCGGCATCAGCATCAGCATGATCAGCATCGTCATCATTATCCCAAGTATTACATCATCACCGTCATCCTCATCATCATCATAAGCAGCAGCATCAGCATCTTCATCAGCAGCAGCCGCATCAGCAGCATCATCAGCCGCAGCACCAGCATCAGCGTCAGCATCGTCACTCGTCTCGTGTAAAGTCCGATCCTCCACCTTTCCGCCGGTTCCTCGTCCTCCTCCTCTGTTCCTCCTCCTCCTCCTCCTCCTCCTCCTCCTCCTCGCACTCCTCATCTTCCTCCTTCTCCTCTTCATCCTCATCCGCCTCCTCTTCCTCCTCACCATCCTCATCGCTTGTCCAGCAACACGCGGGCCTCCTCTTCCTCCTCCCCAGGCTCCTTCTAATCTTCATCCCCCATCTGGCAACACCCAATCCTCCCGCTCCCCCTCCTCTTCTTCCTCCTCCTCGCCCTCCTCGTCATCATCATCATCACCATCATCATCATCATCATCATCATCATCATCATCATCATCATCATCAGCATCATCGTCTTCTTTTTCTTTATCTGCCTGCTCCTCCCCTCCGTCATCGACGACAACCGATCCACTTGTTCCCCCAGCCTGGTCCTCATACCTCTCCTCCTCCTCCTCCTACTCCTCCTCCTCCTGCTCCTCCTCCTCCGACTCCTCCTCCTCCACCTCCTCTGATTCATTCCCCCCAATCCGCCTCATCAGTCGTTCTTATCATGGTCATCCTCCTCCTCCTCAACAACAGCAGCATCAGCACCAGCACCATCACCATAAGCATCATCATCATCATCACCACCATCATCATCATCATCACCAGCCATCAGCATCACCACCATCAGCATCATCAGCATCATCATCATCATCATCATCATCACCACCACCACCATCAGCATCATCATCATCATAATTGTCAGCACAATCAGCATCATCATCAGCAGCATCATCACCCTTATCAGCATCATAATCAACATCATCATCATAATCATCATCAGCATCATCATCAGCATCATCATCATCATTACCATCATCATCATCATCATCGTCATCATCATCAGCATCATCGTCACCAGCATCATCATCGCCATCAGCATCATCATCGTCATCAGCACCAACATCAGCATCATCATCAGTATCGTCATCAGCATCAGCATCCGCATCATCAGCATCGCCATCACCATCCACAACAGCAGCGTCACCGTCGTCATCAGCATCAGCATCAGCATCCTCATCAACAGCATCATCATCGTCATCCTCACCGTCGTCATCATCAGAAGCAGCTACAGCAGCAGCATCAGCAGCATCATAATCAGAATCCGAATCCACATCGTAAACATAGTCAGCATCATCATCAGCAACAGCACCATCATTATCAGCATATACCAACATCAACATCAGCATCAGTTTTATCAAAATCATCATCCTCGTCATCAGCACCAGCATCCTCATCGACGTCGGCATCATCAGCAGCAGCGGCATCAGCAGCAACACCATCGTCATCAGCATCATCATCATCACCATCATCAGCATCACCATCATCATCAGCAGCATCACCATCATCGTCATGAGCATCAGCAGCATCGTCATTATCAGCACCGTCATGGTCATTGTCGCCGTCGTAATCAGCATCTCCAGCATCAATTCAGCACCCACTCATCATCATCATCATCATCATCATCATCATCATCATCATCATCATCATCATAATCATCATCATCATCATCATCGTCATCATCGTCATCATCGTCATCATCAGCATCACCACCATCTTCAACATTAACCTCATCATCATCAGCAGCAGCAGCATCCTCATCATCATCACCATCAGATTCATCAGCATCATCATAATCATCATCAATAGCATCATCATCAGCAGCATCATCACCACCACAGGCCTCAATTCTATCAGTATCGTCGTCATCATCACCACAATGACCAGAATAATCGTCCGCCTCATCATCAGCAGCATCAGTAGCATCAGCAGCATCAAGACCATCGTCGTAGCACCCATCACCACCACCACCACCACCATCATCATCACCATCATCCTCGTCATCATCAGCAGCAGCATAATCGTCACCATCACCAACACCAAACATCCTCAGAATATCATCGTCGTCAGTCGCATCGTCATCGCGAGCAGCAGCAGCATCATCAGCAGCATCACCATAGAATCATCCGCAGCATCACCATTATCATCAGTACCGCCATCATAAAATTCC